GTAGGCTCTCAGAAGCACATCCTCAGGCAATTTCAGCTTTGCAGAGCCAGGTTATCTCTAAATTTGGGTTCTAATTTTTCCTGCATCGGCTCATTAGCTAAAAACACTTGATGCTTATACATTGCAAATGCAGTACCGTATGTGTGCTGCTATCATGGAACTATCAAATGCTTTGATATATGGGAACAGATTGCAGTGTGGTTCTGCCGAAATTGCGAATGCCCAACTCATTTACCCATGCCCATCATCTACCCCTGAATGGCTGAATGAGGTACATACAAATTTCTCTATGTTATGTTGTATATAGATCTGTTGCTGACATTTAGATGGTTGAAAGTTGAAACTGGATAATTTTATAGATTTTTCTTGAATGGCTGCTTGAAGTGTCAAGCTACTTGAAGTAAATGCCTCTCGTTAACTTTCAAATTACACTATCTATTTGTGCTTTCTGTTGGCATGTTACTGTTCCCTAAAGACAAACTCTTGTGGCATTTTAACAGAGTCATGCGTCTTTTCAGTGCCTGCAATTGCTGCTTCCTTGATAGCATTTAATTTGAACATATTACTTTGCTAGCCTCTCACATCCTGTCTTTTTCTGAGTAACCTACAAGAGTATGATTCTGCCTTGTATAGGGTATAATGAATCCTTTTTCCATGATATAAAGCTTTGAACCAGATCTGAGTAAATGTTTTCTCTCTGGAGCCCTAATTGGTCATTTGGTGTCTCCCTTCAGATACAATCTGCATGGAGTTTGTGGTCATATGTCAAGCTTTTCTCATCTTTCTGTTTATGGTCTAGGATGCCTTATGCACACTAAAAATTTGGATTTTGGTTAGGTACAGAAATCAGAATCTCTAATACCTATAAGCAGGTTCTGAGGAACCTTTGGATATTTGTAGACCAGGAAAAACACTGGGCAAAAAAAGAGTAACTTATGCCTGCGAAAGATACTGGCTGACATGATCTAAGATCATTTACTCAAGCATCCATGTGAATCATATTCTGTACATGACAGGTTAACCTATGCTGCTCAAAAGTTTCTGGTCTTTTCAATTCATTTTGCTTGTTATACTAACATTTCTGACTTGGATATTCTTTCAATTTTGCCATATCCATGTATATGTTGAAATGCAGATGGTTATTACTTTTTATTATTTTTATTTTTGTTTTTTCATTTTCAGTAGCGTTAACACTCAAACTTTTTCGTTAGGAACGTTATGGTCCTCTTTTATCCCTGTACACTCAAGCTTGTTCTTATGAAATTTTTTATCAAGTTTATGGACAGTTATTATTTGTTTCAAATTTGTAGCTGTTGTGATTGATCACAGTTGGTCACTGTCTCGGTGTTTCTTCTTTTCTTTTTCATTCACTTTTTTCTTTTCCCTCCTGCTGGAGGATGGTTGGGGGGGGGGGGTGTGATGGCTGTAATGGGGGTACCAGCATTTTCCTTTGAGACAATATTACTATTAACCGTGACAAGATTTCATAGGTGAATTGTCTTATTTTCCTTAATTCTTGTTGCAAAAGTAATTAAATTTTATTGGTTGATTAAATTCCTTGAATTTCACCAGGCGTTGAACCCAGAAAGACCAGTTATTTTTATTAACACAGGTTTGTTCAAGTGCTGTTTTCCTTTTACCTTTATCCCATGCTTTTCATCAGAAGAACTTGTCTCCCATACAACTTGAGTTGTTTACCGTCTTAACAACTCAGATTTCTTAGAAGCACACGAGTCAAATGACAGTAAAGCAGTGAACAATCCAGTTGAAGCTTGTATTGTATCTGAGGTGCGATATTTGGACCTGATTACTTATTGCGTTCTGGGATCAAGTTTTATGGAGTTACTGTTCTCATGGCCATTTCTATTTGTAGGTCACAAATGGATTGCTTGAAAGAGGCATTGAAGGAGAAAGCATTGGCGTTATTACCCCCTACAACTCACAGGCAAATCTTATTCGCCAAGCTGTTTCCACATCTGTGGAGATACACACGATCGACAAATACCAGGTCCGACTTTTGCCAACGTCTATACAATGTTTTGGCTTTAAAAATTAACTATTGGCACACCTATTATCCTTCTGTGATGCTCTGATAAAAATAACAACTCTTAAGAAGAGCTAGTCAACTATTAATCTGGGAGCTGTTGATAGGCTTTTGGCCCTTCGGTGATTTGATTATTTGTGTCACCTGTCTTGCAATAGTGATCACAACAATCTCAAATTGGTAGGGCTCTTTTCCAGTTAGTGGTGTTATCCTTTCTACTGGTTCCGGAATTTTATAGTAGTAGAGTTTTTGTTGAAAGACACGTGTGGAAGCTTCAATTGGTACAAATAAACTGTTGTTTGTTTAGGAAGGAGTCTAAAGTTTCTTCTAGGTTAAGAAAATCGAATAGTATAGTTTTTTTTTTTTTTTTTAATTTTTAAATTCTCAGATAGATCCTTGTGAAATGTTGACCTATCATTGGTGGAAATTTGAACTCTCGTGGCTAAAATTTTTTTTTACTGTGAAATTCTCTACTAACATGGAAAATTGTATGGAAATTTACAATTTTGTCAGACTCGTGTTGTTGAATTGTCGAAACCAAACGTTATTTTGTTTTCCCATCTTTTTGGCTTGCAGGGTAGGGATAAAGATTGCATACTGGTTTCTTTTGTAAGATCCAGTGAAAACCCAAGGACCTGTTGCTCTTCACTACTTGGAGACTGGCACCGGATTAATGTAGCCATTACACGGGCCAAGGTTCTCATCATGTTGTTCTTATTTAATTATTGTGTTTGTTTCAGCAATAAATTATTTGTGGTTGTAGCTGGAAAATGTTTGATATATTTTACTACATTTCTTACCATCTGGACATTGCGCTACAGACATTCTTATGTCTTTGAAGCTTTTTCGTTATTTTTTTGACTGATAAAGATGCATAACTACTCTTGAACAAACATGTACACTGATGTGGTGTTTTTCCCCTCCCTCTTGAACAGAAGAAGTTAATCATGGTGGGCTCCTGCAGAACTCTTTCGAGAGTACCACTGCTGAGGCTTCTCATAGAGAAAGTAGAAGAACAAGGGGGAATAATGAGTATATCCAAGAGGGACATTAAACTGAAACCAGAGTTGAAGAGATGCTCCTCCCAATTGAGGTAGGTAGGAGTGATTTTGATGTTGATGTAATTTATCATGTTGTAGATTGAGTACTTTTTTGGAAATTGTAAATAAAATAAAAGCCATTATTTTGAGTTTTTTTTTTACTAATAAAATGGTAACTGGGGTGAGTCCAAAAAAAAAAAGAAAACTTTCTGGAAAAAACTTTTACCAAAATGGCATGAACCACAGTGCTTGTACAAAAGGAGCGAAGTGCGGTAAACCCTTAAATGCATAAACGAAGGTTGCCAAATGTCGAATGCTGCTTACGCTTATGAGATACTTCTTGGTCCTAAATGTCAAAATATGCCCTCTTGAAAAGGTAGCGTTAAACAAGAAGATATTCGACAAGTAGCCTTCAATATCTCTTCCGGATTAAACAATTTCCCATGCCAGTTAAACGATTCCTTGGCAACCAAATCTGTCAAATAAATAAGATAAGATGGGGTATCACGACACCCTCCTGTGGAGTCGTAGAAAACCATTGCCGCAACCAACATGACTGACATTCAACTGGCATACCGACATCAAAATTAAAGCCCCAGTGGATATGCTCTCCACGCCCACTCCAAAAATTAGAGAGTTGCAGCCTCTTCCTTCATGCGGCACCATAGGCAGAGGGAAGATGGGCAACAAGTACAGGCCACAGCAACAATTGTATTTTTGCTGCTATAAGTAAAGACCATAGTTTCTTCCAAGTGGCTATATGAATAACATACATAGACTTCCTAATTTTCTATCAATCCGGGCTATATGGTATCCTGTACTGGAAATTTTTTATACACTATCAATGTACAATTTTTTTTCTTTTTACACTATAATAGGTTTATATTAATGCAACATTATATGAATTCAAATATGAAATTCAAATCATGAACATGCGGTATACATTCATAGCTGCAAGTAAAAAGAAATCGCTAGACTACCGGTGTATAAAAAGTTAATCCATGTATATTTTTGCTAGTACTTCACTAAACTCTTTTCTAGCAAATCTTTACTGATAGTGTAGCCTACACACATCGGATCGTAGGTAGGCTTTCCCTCGTACTTATAACCAAACACCCTGCCCCTTTCACAATTAATGTGGGATAAACTCAACAATCTCCCCCTCATATATCGGATCTTAGGTTGAACCATCATCAATCTCCCCCTCGCGCATTGGCCTGTAGGTGGGATCGGTATCAACACATTGGCCCCTAGGTTGGATTAGCATCAACATAACCGATGAGAGATAAATTCAATGATCTCCTCCTCGTACATCAGCCCCTAGGTTGGATCCCCTCACACTTATAATAACCAAGTACCGTGCCGCAATCGCTATGGATAAACTAAAAAATCTCACCCTCACATAATCGATGTGATAAACTCAATAATCTCCCTTTCATACATTAGGCCTAGGTTGGATCATGGATAAATTCAATAAATTCAATAATCTCCCCTTCATACATCATGTCCTAGGTCGGATCAGGATAAAATCAGTAATTTCCCTCTCACACATCGGCCTCTAGGTTGGATCGTCTCACACTTATAACCAAACACTCTGCCACAACTGATGTGGATAAATTCAACAATCTTCCCTTCACTTATCAGGCCCTAGATTGGTTTAGTATCACCTTGCCCCATCCACATCCCTCTCACACATCGGCCGCTAGGTTGAATCAGCATCAACCTCTCAACAATCTCCCTCTCACACATTGGGCCCTTGGTTGGATCAACATCAACCTCTCATCCGACAGGCCTATCACACATCGGCTCTGAGTTGAATCAGCATTAATCTTTTATCCGACGAGCAACAATCGATCCAAATGTCTACTGGGAGGAGTTGTCATAATTGGGTTCTGATACTAGTGCTGGGTACTCTCGGGCCTTCTCACTCCGAAAGTTATATAACTAAGTACCCTACCCCTTTCACAACCATAACGGATGTATGATAAATTCAACAATAACTCTCATAGTCTGTGGAACCAGGAGCTTGTCATATGATTTCCTTTCAGGGGAGTCAGAAGACTCGTAACAGAACTTTCAACCCCTTTTGGTGCTTATTTTTTCTGTTTATGATATGTAGATGTCTACGGATTCAAGCACCAGTAGTCATGTTTCTGCTTTGTTTTGATGCTATTATTGACCAGTCAAAAGAATTACTGTGACCTACCATGTGATTCAGATTTGATAGTGTACATTTTACATGGATATGCAACTATTACTTTTTAGCGTTTCTCTCTTCTGAATTGGCTTAATTCATAAATTTGTGCTCTTCTGATGAAGGCTTTTCCATGCTTCTAATTCTGTAATCTTATTCCTGCTTGTATCACAATGACTTTAGCATTATATGCTTTTCTGCACTAAGAATCTCTTCACTTTACAGTAAAGCTACTGGAAATGAACAATAAATTTGCTTTCTTTCTGTAATAATCTATTATAGGAATTGCAGGCTTGGTGCTTCAGTGGAATGAACATTGTTCTTGTTTGATGTTAGGCTTAGAGAGTATGACTGAGATGATATGTGTTCTTATCTCAAACTTTCTAGGAATCTTAGGAGCTGCAACTTGAGTGGCAAGGTTCTTGATCTAACTAGGATTCACAACCTTCTTTTCCTGTAACTCTCACATGATGATTCTTCATCAATATTTGAAGTCGGAATTAAGATACTTGCAGAATATTTAGCAGGTTTTTCTCTTCAAAGAATGCGATCATCTCATCAGAAAATTCGATTTTTTTGAATTAATCCGCTGGGCAAGTTTTTCTTTTGAAAGAATGTGAGCATCTGTAAAGTTAATTGTTTCTTGTGGTTATAGGACGGAGCTGCATGTGTAGTTGTTACCAACATTATGGGCAATGGGTTCAGAAATTGAAGTACTTGAGTAGAGATTGAGTTTGTTTTTGGGTGAGCTGCAGAAAGAATTTGAAATTTTTGATAGAATTGTCTACAAAAATAAGAATCAGCATCAAAGGTGCTCTTATTGTCAGTGTCTGCTCAAGGTAGGTAGTTCTTCTGCTGAAGTTTCAATTTTACTTACCTATTATATAGCACTAACCTGTACGTTTCTAGGCTTAGATTTCTGTTTACCCAAAATTAACTGTGATTCTGCTGACAGGTGAGAAGGGATTTGAGGCTTCTGCAATCAGCAAATTTGGGGGAAATCTTGAACTCCTGCTTTGTCGCAATCCATAGAAAAAGACCTAAACAAAAAGTGCAGCTTTGGGAAAGGTATAAACAAAAAGGAGGATCCTTATCCTAATTTCTTGTTAACCTTATGCATTGATGACTGTGCTTATTGATGCTTGTATCTTGTTATGGAGCAATTAGCAAGACTCTGAAGAGGGTTCATTGCAAAGTTATAAATCTTCAAAATTTTCTGAGTCATTTCATGAGGCTTCAAAAATGTAAAATTGGAATTTGAAAATTATTTGCCAGGGAAATTGATTTAGAAATTACTCTATCTAATGTACAAGTAATAGCAATTGAACTGTTATGTTCTATAGTATTTCATATACATAAATTTTTGGATATTTATATGCATGTCTGTTTTACACTGCATTTTCAGTTTGAAGAGGAGAAGGTCTGATGTTGGTAAATATAGCTTTTTGGAACGGCTTCTTGGAGTTGCACGTCTACTATCGCTGGTAGTAATTTGTTCATGATTGCTGTCATAACTGTGTTTCTCTAACTTGTTATTGTACCTTCAGTCCTCAACGAACCTGAAGTCTCAATGGGAGGCATGCCATTAAGCTACAATATTATATATGTTCTTGTCAAACATTTCCATTGTTAATTTGTTATGATGTCCAATTAGTCATTGTATATCAAGATCTTTAGGTCTTAGAGGAGTCAGACTCTTGGTTAGTTTCAGTCTCTTCCATTTTTCTCAGCAAGTCTTTTCTTTTTTAACTGTAACAGCAAGTCATATGTTGTCTTATTCCTTTCCTTCCCTCTTCATCTACTTCTCTGGTACCGTTGTAAGCTATTCCCTCTAATCATGTTGCTGAAGGTAATCGTCTAAAGAACTTATGCTATGCTTTTGATTCTCCTCTTCCCCTAGATAATGACACTGACGCTGCAAATCCTGAATCTGCTCCAGAAGGTCCTGATGGCAAGGTCAAGACATTGGTTCTTTGGCTGATCCTGTTTCACAAGGTAAGTATATAAGAGACGGTTCTTCCATTGCAGGACCTGCTGCAAAGAGTAGCATGACTCTGGAAGATGGCCTACTTACAACTTCAAAGCTTATCTCCGCATTTGAGTCCCTTTAACACACAAGGCCGGGAAGAAAAAGGTTGCCTTCTTAGCGGTGAGAGCTCCTTCACCATCAACCGCACACATAAACTTGATTCTGGTGTCAAACTAACAGACAAAAGTTGATTAACAGAAATGGGATGCATTTTTCAGTCTGCTTATTGGTGACAATAAGAAGAGCAGTAGTATCTCTTACGAGTATATTCAGACCAAAAAGCCAGTCATATTGTGCTTTTTCCCCCTCTCTATGGCTGTTTTTTTTTTTCTTTCTTTTCATTTTTTCCCAATTACGCTTAACGTGGTTTAAACCTTTGGAGCAACTCCAATGGCGTGTCATGGGAGGTACTCATTACACGTATCATCAGAATGATGCGTGTAAATGTTGCTAAAAAAAAAGAGGATATAGCGAGCCCTTTTTTGCAACAGATAAATTTGGTATCACTGTCACATATGATATTTTCACATTTGAGGTATCACATATATTTGATTAATAATTACATAATTATTTTTTAGAAAATAACAATATATTATTTTTGAGAGATAGAAAAAGATATATTGTCCAAACTTAGAAATTAATAATATTATTTTTTTAGAAAATAAAAAAATCCAAAAGGTAAAAAATTTAATGAAAATTAATAATTCATTTTTGAAAAATAACAGAATTATTTTTTTTAAAAAAATTACATTATTTATTTACGGAATATGTATTGTGCATTATTAAAATAAATGTTTGATTTAACTGTAGACCCATACTATTATCCCGTGTTTCCTTAGTAATATAAAGCTAATAGTCATATCATACAACGTCCACCTTGCAAAAGAATTTCTAGGCTGATTTTTGTCATATTTTGAATGCCAACAACTATCCAGAAGCAGGTAAGTTGAACAGTACGCTAAGAGCTTGCCACTCTTCAATTGCTTCTTCAATGAAGAATTGATTGCTTAAGTTTTACATTATATGATAGACGGCATTTGGACTGCATTTTATAGCTGTTGTGTTGATGTAAATTTTATTGAAAGGAAATCCAAAAGAAGTTTCGAATGGTGAGGGTCGATTATTTCGCAAAAGTGGTCTCGAAAGAATCAAATGATTCAAAATGTTGAAGTGATTTTTAGAATTAGTTTTAATGATAATTAATTTTTTTTAAAGTTATGATGTTTGACAAATAATTACTGGAGAAACCCGAAAAAGAAAAACAATTAAAATAGTGAATTAATAGTGAATCAAATGGTTCATGAAACCAGTCATTTGCTTGGGGAAAACTGATTCCACGATTACTAAGAGCAGCAAAACTGAACCAACCAAAGATCAAATAACATCCACATCTATAAACATAACAATGACCGACGTAAAACGGAGAAGGGATCCAGATAAAATATGGAGTAAACCATATTCATGCATCAACAGAACAACGTTCTTTTCCCAGTAAAGCCTAAAAGATAAGTTGGAAGAATAATACAAAATTTAGTTTAATACAACAAAATAATTAATAACTGCCGCAAAACTGACTCAATATCCTGACTATTCCTGTCTGTCTTTGGGTTTCAAGGGAGATCTTATGGCCACAATTCTGGGAATGAATTAACTCCAGTTGCCTTCTCTCACAGTTCTGGGAGGACCTCTGCAAGTAACTCTGAAATCTTCTAGTTCTGGGACCAAATTACGATAAATATTGTACCAGCTGCTAGTCAAAAGAAATAACCTCCTCTTGAACATCTAGTAATTCCTCCACTTCTACGTCTTTGGCCTCGTATTCCTCCTCTTCATCACTGGCTTCCCCATCACGAAGCTTCTGTCTTTCTAATTTTTCCTCTTCTTGCAGCTGTTTCCACTCGCTGATCCACCTCTCCCACTCTTCCTTCACAATCTTTCGCTTCTCGCGTTCCTGCTCACTCAACTGGAGGGAGACATCCTGATCCTCTGCTTCATACTTCTTGCTGTACTTCTTCAGGTTCTTGGATATCTCTTCTTCCTTCTCAGGGCTCAAAAGGGATGGAGGCCTTGGACGCCAAGAAAACTACGATATAACCAATGTAAGTTTCAAGTTTTCAAACACAAAAAAAGAAAAAAAAATACTAAATGTGAAATTGTGTAGTTTTACCTGGAAAAAGTGATCCTTGAGAATACGATATAACAGTTTGCCATTGAAGGACCATATGTTGAAACCATTTTCCATCTCATGAACTGAAGTTACTGACGTAGCAACATACCTGCATATGCAAATTTGATGCAATCAAAAAGAATTAAAACAAAACAAAATGTCAAGACTAAGCAACTATCAGTCTTTTAGACTCCCAAGTACTACACAGATTCTACAATTAAACTTGAGAAAAAACATTCAAGTTTTAGAACCAGGAAAGAGACTTCAGACACATTACAACAAGATGGAAGCTTTATTCTCCTAATCAACTCAACGAAAATGGATCGGTTATTACCTTCCCGTGGGATCCCATTCAATATCTGTTGCCATGAAGTGCTCAGCTGTTGCCATGGTTTCAAGCTCATCAACATTGTAGAACTCCAATTGCCCATTGAAATTTTTCAACCCAGCCAGCACAATGAACCGACCAGCTGGTGACCAGTAAAGTGCATTTGCCTGCTTGCCCTTGATAGTTGTGAGTTTTGAAACCCGACCAGTATTATGAGCAGTCCGCATTGAGTAGAAACTTATGTCAGGCCTAGGGTTATCACCATGAATAACTGCAAATCTATGGCCCTTTGGCTCCCAAGCAAATGCAATAATCTTATCATTCTTATTCTCAAGTTCCAATACTTCAATGGGAATATCTCTCTCTTTAATTCTGAAAAGCTCAAACCCAGTATATGTACTCTTCTTAGTTTTTGTGTACCGATCAACTTTCACAGCCAGGTAGTCACCATTGCTTTGCCAATACATTTTGCAGTCACTAACACTAAAAAGATTCTTCTGCCTCAATTCCTCCTTGCTTGGGATTTGCACAAGACTTACCTATTATTAGATTGTAAACTATTAGCCTTTAGATTAGAGGAAACAAAAAAAGTCAGGTGTGTACCACATGGAGCTTCTGTACTCACCCTTGCAGGCTGATTCCCTCCACCAAGTTCTGGAACAAATAGTGCAAGGATAGGATCGGTCGGTGACCAACTAAAGTCCATGACATTTTCAACCTTTATGGATTTCTTGTCAATAAGAGTAAATGTCTCAGTTTCATAAACAGAGATGACGTTCTTCCCTATTCGGGCAAAGTATTTGTCATCCTTCCCACCACCCCACCTGAAAAAAGATCAATCAACTTTTCCAAGTCAAAAATTTTCACAATTAGATCCAATCATAGAAAAAGTGAAACATGTCTCCATGCACCAGGTCAACAAGGGCAATCAGTATACATAAGCAAAAGGTCACCTGAAAACAGGCCAAGAAACACCAGTAACGCCCCCAGTTCCTCCAATAGCAAATTCATCTACACTTCCCTTGAAATCTCGCATTACTTTTCCAGATTTCACATCAAAAATGTTGAGAACTACCCTCTGCAAAATGAGTCTATATCAGGAAAAGTCCTACAGGGATCTGAAAACGTGTTGCTACACCAGAACACACATTTCTGTTGGTGTAATGCTTCTACTGTCACTCTTGTTATTGCAATGCATCGCATAATAAGGCGAATTTGTAGATTAACCTTGATTTTTAAAATTTACAGAGGAATTAGTCAACGAATATGTTTCATGACTTCTATTAAGGGAGTGCAACAATTAATATCAAATAGCAAAAAGATAATCAGTAAGGAAGAAGATATAATAAAAGATCATAAGGGAAGTATGTAATGGGTTAAATAACAAATGAACTAGATAAAACACATTACATGAGTATCACGAGGATTGCTAGGTTCATGGCTGCTGTAAGTCACCAAAAACCTCTCACCAGGAGAAAAATCGATCAGTCTAACCTGCAATTGAGACATTAAAGTCAAATGCTTGAAAGATTAGTACTCTAGCTTGCTAACATCATAGTTATTAAAATATGACCTGAGGGTGAGCATAGCGCGTTAAGCGATTGAAAGCGGAGGCACCACCCCAAACTACAGCACCTTGCCTGTGCAGTGTGGCTAAATAGGTACCCAGCGGGGACCACTGAACGAAACTCTCGGTCCAGAACTGAGTGAAAAAATAATGGGGAAAAAAAGGCATCAGAGAAACGTAAAACATGGAAGTTCTAAAAAGGAATGAGAAAAATGTATTCAGAAGAGTACAAGGACAATTCATCCAAGTAAAATCCAGTATAAGATGCATTAAACAACATAAATTTACGAGCAATGAACCAGATGAAACAGAAAGAACTACAAATTTCAAGTCACTCACAGGACGTTTGTAAACAGGATCAGGCTTCAACTGTCTAGCATCATTCCACAGCACCTCGGTGTCACTGCCAGCACGAATTACAAATTGATCTCTAGCTTTCTCATCAGTAAGCCAGTGTTGCAGATTTTCCTGAAACCAGTACACAACCCACTCAGATAAAAACTTACTGAACAGAACAATTCAGGCAGAAGAGAGAATCCTAAGATTAGCAGCACTTGAAAAGAAAGAAGCCAACCCCTGGTGTGTAAGGTATAGTTTCTGGAGGAGCCCACTCATCTGGAACTTTCATAAACTTTTCAATGTCATCAAACATGTTCACAGCAAATATATGAGATCTATCCAACTTGTATCCATTAGTCTTCTCTTTTGCAAGTTCAGCTTCCTTCAATGCCATCAAACAAGATCAGTTAGCCAGATGAAACTAATTATCAATTGCAACGAGACATTATGGCAACCTGTTTGTTTGTTTGCATATAGACACAACTCTTCCCCGCCCCAATGCCCCCCTCCCCCGGCCCAAAAAAAAAACACCTCCACCCCAAAATAAAAGGAAAAACGGAAACAATAGGTCGTTGTTTCTTTAGACTGCATAATGCCATAACCCTCGCCTACGCACCAACCATTGCTGTGTTTCTAAAAAAGCAATCACCGCATATTAATAACATCTAAAACAAATACACATTTGTCTGATCTTCAGCTAATACACAGCTTTTGTATTTCAAGAAGCTACCAGATACTACTTATTGAATCATCAAGATAAGCCATCATTCCAAACGTTAAAGCAATTTCATACAATTTCCCTCTCCAGGCTAATATCATATGCCTCTGGCCCGTTTTAATAAAGCTCATTTACATATTTTCTCCAATTATAAGCAAATTTTCTACACCCCATACGATAGCAAAGTCCACAAATTAATATCCAAAAAGA